TGTTAGGGTGATGGTTATTGAGAGTCTTGTTTTGCATTCATTGAGCTTCCACACCTTGAATCACAAGCCATCATGCAATGGAATTGCTTGGATTGATGGTTTGTGACTTAAGTTCACAACTCCTTAGATTTATTCATGAAAATGAGGGGTGAATTGTGTAGAAAATCCTTGGAAATACCCTATTTTTGCTTTGTTTGTACTCTGTTGCAGCATGGTGATCCAGTGCATCAGTGGCCGACAGTGCACCATAGATGGCCGGCAAGCCCCCTTCATGGTCGGCAGATGGCTGGCAGTATCTACTAGTGGCCGGCTGGCCATTAATGTAAACCTCAGTAGAATGTTGGTAAGGTGGAGCAAAATAGTTTTGGAAGTGTTCAACTCTGCAAATAGAGGCTTTCGAGAGCAAAACGAAGGTCTTTTCGGGTGGTATCCGAGCATGTGCATCTTTCATTTCCTGAGGCGGAGTAGTGGCAGTGTAGTTATAGGCTTTAATTGCTTAGTTTGCTTACGTTTGTGTTGTAGCTTAATTAGTTAGCTTACTAGTTAATTTATTCAAGTGTTGTAATAATTAGTTAATTAGCTTAGCTTTTTTTGTTTCATTTAGTTTGTAATAATTAGCTTAGCCCTAATTAGCTGCTAGTTAGTTTTAGTTTATTCATTTGGACTCTCCTTCGTGAGAGTGTAATGTAATAACGTATATGTCTTCCAACCCCACGTCTGTCTCCCTTTTACTTAATTGCTTTTGTTGGTTAGTTTAGGGACATGTTTCAAATTAGCATATCTTATGCTTGCATCCATTCATCTTGTCTTGCATGCACCAAGGCTTGACACATCATTTAAACTGCATTGTCGTTTTAAATACTTCTTTAAATACGTGTTTAACCACATGTTATCAAATCGAATCATATGCCAAATTAGTAGCCGAGCCTATTAAATTGCATTATTGCATGCGTTGCATTAGACATTTAACATAATTAGGAATCATGCATATTTTTCTAATTCATATCTTCTTAGCTTGGAGTACTAGGTGAGATTTTAATGTTTTAGCATATTTGCATGATTGTGACTGTTGTAATGTCTGACATGTTTGCCATGAGGCTAAATGCTTACTTGTTAAACTGCTTGAATGCTTGTGGATGAAGACTTGTTATTTGAATTGGAACAATTCAACGAATGTAAGTTTTAAGCCCACTTTGTTGAGTGGCAAATTAGTTTTAAGCCCACTTTGTTAAGTGGCAAATCCGTTTTAAGCCCACTTGAGGTGGCAAATTCAAACATTTTTCACAAAAACAAACATGAACTTGAAGTTTTCCAACTTGAGCAAATTAGTCTATACTTGCTTGTGCGCATCACATAGTAAAGCTAGTTTAAATAACTGGAACAAGAGCACATAATGTTTATAAAAATCATATCATGATTAGTAGAGGCCGACCTTTGATCGGGCGAGCGGGGGTGCTCAATTCATGACCTTCCCCTTTCGTACCCAAATTCCCGAGCTGAGACAACTTTGGTGATGACAGACATGTGGCCTTTGGCACGAGTCATGGGTTTCTTAAATTTCTCTAAAATAAAATATTTAGGTGGCGAATTTGTATCTGGCAAAGCAGTCCATTTTTGGCAATTTGATTCAAAATCGATTTTCTAAAAGATTTGCTAGATTTGGACTTTTTGGTGTTTATCAATCTCACATTGCACTTGTGAGATTAGATTCAGAACCGCGGGAGTTCGAATTGTAGGGCTTTCTTTTCAACCTTCCGAAAGGGGGCGTGAAAAAGTCGAGCCACACCAGTCGGCCACCAATGTGTTTTGCAGATATTTTGTGACAATTATGCCAGTTGTTTGCACAGATGCTTGCATTTACTCCCACATGTATGGCTGGATGTTTTTTATGGAGCTTCATGTTTGTCTATATATAGAGGGCGTCCGCTCTTGCTTTGGGGTTAGAAAAATTTTGCAAAAAAATGTTTCCTCTTTCTCTACAATTCTCTTTCTCTCTTGCAAATTTCTTAACCATAGTCTATACATTCTTCACCTTTGCCTGTACACTCTTAACCAAACCTCTCCATCTTGGAGCTGAGGTACCTTTGAGCCTTGTTTGAGCTCTTGAGGGTGTGTTTGAGGGTGTGTTGGTCTTGAAGAGGTATAAAACTTTGTCTTTTTACTTGTTGTATTCACTATTTTTCTTACTATTTTCCAACTATTTTTAAGCTGCAAAACTCTGTATTTTTGGGTTGAATTTTGAGTTTTAAGGCCAATAAAGGTTGAGGGGTGGTTCACACTCTTTACACTTTGCTCTTAAGACCTTTACCCTTGTGTTTCCCACCTTTGCATTATCTTTTTTTTGAGCTTTTAAACAATGATTTTCAGAATTATTTTAGTGGCTAAAATCGTGGTTTGAAGTCAAAAATTGGAGGGGTTAGCCTCCCCTCCTTGTGTTTTGCTTACTACCCTAGCATGATCCATGTTTTTGCTTATTATTTTAGCTATTTTTGTCTTAATTTCAGCATGTTTTAGGACTTATTTAGGACTGATTTAGAACTATTTTTAAGTGTTTGTTGCATTTGAGCTTGTAGTGTAATTGTCCTCATGAGTTTGGTGTTTTAGGCCTTAGACACCATCTTATTTGTGTTGATAGTGTTGATTTACGGCTTTCCATACTTGTGATCACTCTTAATCATCTTTGCAACCTCCCTCCTTTCTTAGCTTTTGTTTTGCTTTGAAAGTGGTTTCAAACTACTTGTTTATTTAAGCATGAGATTGAGATGTCATATTTAATGGTTTAATCCCTTTGGGGGTTCATTACCAATGGTATGATATCTCTTTCATGCCTAAAACAACTCTCGGTTTGAGCCCTCTTCCTTCGATTAGAGGACTTAAATTCACCTTTGGACTTTATTGACTAAAGAATGGATGGTAATCTAAAATGAAATAATAAAATTGAGGCTAAAAAAGGTGCAAGATAATAACTTGTTTGGGTTTAATCGAACGTTAATTTAACCCTTGAGTCTTGAGTTGTTTCATACTTATTAGTGATGAAAACGATTCAAGATTCATTGTCAATTACTTCCCTTGATCTTTCATGATAGAGAGGTGGTGTTGAGAGTCTAGTTTTATTGCATTTATTGAATTTGCACACTTGATTCATAAGCCATCACGCAATGAAATTGCATCCATTGGTGGTTTGTGAATTAAACTTACTACACCTCTGAGTTGTTCAAATGACAAGGAGGGGTAAATTGTGCAAACAAACCCTTAAGAATACATTGTTTCTGCTTTGTTTGCTCTCTGTTGCAGCAAAGAAGTTCAGTCATCAGTGGACGGCAGGCAGTGCAAAATCAAGTAGTGTCCTTTTAAAGCAGAACATAGTTGGTTTGGAGGTGGAAATCAGTGCAAGTGATCTACTGTGCAATAGAGGCATTTAGTAACATAAACAATGGCTTTTTCAGGTGAAAGGCGCATTCATGCATGAGCCCTCCATCGATCCTCGAGATCCATGTTGTTAATATATTAGTGTTGTGCTTAAAATAGTGGCTTTGTAATTAATTAGTTGGTTAAACTAGTTATTTAATTTTGTGTTGTAATAATTAGTTAACCAGAATAGTTGATTAATTTGTTGTAATAACTAGCTAGAATAGTTAGCTTTATTTGGGTTTGTAATAATTAGTTAATTGCTTAATTAGCTTAGCTTTAATTAGTTAGCTAGTTAGTTTATTCGGACCATCCTCTGTGAGGGCGCAATGTCGTAATAACGTGTATGTCTTTCAACCCTACGTCTTTCTCCCTTTTATTTACTAGCTTATGATGGTTAGTTTATGGTATAATGTTTTGTTTAGCATACTTCATGTTTGCATCTACTTGTCTTGCATGCATTGGGCTCGGTTCATCATTCTAACTTGCATTATTATTACTTATACTTCTTTGAATATGTGCTTAGATAGCATGCTATCAAATTGATTCATATGCCATATTAGTAGCCGAGCCTAGTAATTGCATATCGCATGTGTTGCATTAGTCATATTGCATAAATTAAGATCGTGTATTTTTCTAACTCATTTCTCTTTTGACTTGGAGCACTAGGTGAGCCTTTACTTACTTTAGCATATCGCATGTTGATGTTGCCATGTCTAGCATACTTGCCATGAGACTAAATGCTTAAGTGATAAATTGCTTGAATGCCTGTGGATGAAGGCTAATAGCTTGAATTAGAATAATTTGAGTAATGTTTATATGCGATCACTTTTTCAAGCGGTACATATTCGAAACGATTTTCAAACGAACATGAGATCAAAGCGTTCCAATTTTTGCAAATTAGTCTATACTTGTGTGTGTGCGTATCACATAGTAATGCTAGTCTAATAATCGGAACAAGAACATATAATGTAGATAAGATTCATATCATGATTAGTAGAGGCTGATCTTTGATCAGGCGAGCGGGGGAGCTCAATTTATGACCTTCCCCTCTCGTACCTAAGTTTTCGAACCGAGACAATCTTGGTAATGATGGACACGTGGCCTTTGACACGAGTTATGGGTTTCCTAGATTTTTCAAAAAATATTTAGGTGACGACTTTGTATCTAACAAAGCAATCCATTTTTTGCAATTTGATTCAAAATCGATTTTCTAAAAGATTTGTCGGATTGGGACCTTTTGATGCTTATCTATTAATTCACATTGCATTTGTGGAATCAGATTCAGAACTGCAGGAGTCCGATGCTGTAAGGCTTATTTGTCTTCCAAAAAGAGGCACAAAAGTGTCGAGCTACACCGACCCTAATGTATTTGTGAAACCGCCCATATGTGTGGAGGTTGGATCAGGTAGGGCGGTTTGGGCGGGTCGAATAACCCTATGCCCAATCCTAAAAAAAAACTAATAAAAAAAAAAAAACCTTTTTGCTTTCTTTATTCTCTTTTTCTAAGCATGTCCTCAACTTGATCATTTTCCTTTTTTTAAGCTTGTCTGAAGTTCTAATATAGTCCAATGAGAACTAACCCCAAAAAATAGTGACAATCAGTCGATTCTCATTAGTATCCTTTCTTTAAAATCAAACATCATCTCTATCTCTTTACAATGATTTCAAAAAATAAAAAAATTAAAATACAAAAGAATAGTAAGCCTAATCCCAAAACTCCCTCATCAAAAGCCACCCCCCCCCCCCCAAAAAAAAAAAAAAAAAAAAAAAACAAAAATCAACCTCAACCAATGTACATTTTTTCATGGATCCAAGGACTTCAAACAAACTTGAACTCCATATTTGGGTTTTATGGTGAGGATTATGACCGGGGCGTGGCGATAACTATCTGAAATTGTGAAGCTAAATTTGGTTATCAACATGGCTAATATGATCTTAGCTTCCATCATGGCAAAAGACTGGCCCACACAATTTCGGGGACCGGCAGCGAAAGGGATAAACCGGCCGGGAGTGTATGATTTGGATGCGAACCGGTCGGGATTGAATTCATTGACATCTTTTCCCCATAGTTCTTCACTGTGGTGAATGGCTAGAACTGGAATCCACATTGATAGACCCTTTGGGATATGGAGGTCACCTAGCTTGATGTCTTCAAATGCGATTCGGGGAAGAACAGAAGCCGGTGGGTATAGCCTTAGAGATTCATTAATCACCATGTTTAACTGCACGTAACGAAAAAATGATGAGCTCTTACGTAATTTCAGAGTTGAAAGTAATTTGAACTGTACCAAATATTTAACCATACTTTTTAAACTCATTTTTATGAATGAGTAATGATATATGAGTAGAAAAATTTATAATATTAAAATAGAAATTAAATTTGAACCAATGATTTTAAAAATTATCATGGCTTCTATAGAAGTAGGATTAGAAGGTTGTACCTTTTTGAAAGAAACTATTTCTTTGAAATGGGTTAAGTTTTTCTAAAATTTAACTCTGATTGTATAGTAGAAAGAAAGAGTTTAGAAACTAAGAAAATTCAAGATCCATTCTCGGCATTTCTTAGTGACAAATGGCCCTACATGACATGTCTTTCAATTTTTTTTTTCCCCCACTAAGGTACCCCTCTCTCAATCTCAAAAAAAGAGCACCAATGGAATTAGGTAAAATTTTAATTTTTTAAAATCAAGGCAAATGAATTTTTTTTAGTACGTGGTATTAATGTTCTCTATCCCTCGCCCAAAAAAGAGAAAAAGCGAAACAAAATCAAAAGTGAAAACAAAACAAATATGGACATTTTTTTTTTGTTTCTTATTACTTACCGAGGAGAGTTTGGAGAGATGATCAATGGAGAATTCACCACCATTGCAGACCTCTTTCACCTCGGCACGAACCTTATCTTGCCACTCAGGATTGCTCGCGAGAAGCATAACTGTCCACGTCAGCAAGAGAGCGGTGGTTTCGTGTCCAGCGAAGAAGAATGTTTTGCATTCATCCATGATTAATTGCAAGTTTATGCTAAACCCAATATTTCCTTTCTTTTTTTGCATCTCATTTAGAAGCATTCCGAGCAAATCGTTCCCGTATGAGCTGCTTCGTCCGATCTCTACACAGTCCCTTCGGCTCTGGATAATCTCCATTAGCAATCTCTCTACCTCCATCTTCAGTGATTTTATTTCTCTGTTGTATTTACTTGGAAAAAACCTGTAAAACATAGCAGTAAATTTTATTAAAAGTGTTTTAAAAAGGTTTTTTTTAAAAAAATTTATTTTATTTAATGTATGCATTAATGAAAATGACTTACTATTCAATTTTAGGACCAAGAAAAACTTTTTGTTTTTTAAATTTAAAATTAATTTTAAATTCAAATTATAATGAAGCGATAATATTAGAAAATAAGACAAATGGTTGGGACAAAGAAGAGTATTAAGGTAGAGGATCCCAAGCCATTGAACAGTGACAAAACTTAAAGGGGTTTAGTTATGGTGTGGAACTTACACCTTACACCTTATACCTTACACTTACATCTTACACTTACACCTTTTGTAAAAAATTAAACCTTACACTTACACCTTTTTTGAGGTTGCACACCATGTGCAACCCACTTACACCTTACACCTTACACTTACACCTTACACTTATACTTACACCTTATACTTATACTTTTTGTGTAAGTGGCACATGGTGTGCACTTGCACACTTAAAGAAAACTCAACTTAAAGGACAAAGTGAAATTTGTAAAACAAAACTCGTCCTATAAAAGCGACATCTCTTTCTTCTAAAAAAAAAAAAAAAAACCCGAAATCCGAATTTGTGTTTGAGAAAAATAATATAGATTCAATTTTTTTTTTTTTTCCTTCCAAAAAGTGTCTAGAATATTGTCTTGGCATATTCAATTCCGCATAGGGGCCTAAAATAAATGCAGCGCCGTTACACTGCATTTTGAATAAATTTTTTTCTAAATTTGTAGTATTATCGTTTTTAAAAATAATAATAAAAAAAAGTAGTGACTCACCGGCTTCCGGGAAACCACAAGTGCCGGCTAGATTGAGCACAAAGGTTTTGCAAAACTGTGAGCAAATGGAATATTTGCTGCCCCTTCTCATAGCTACAATCAAACTCGGTTCGTGAAATGATGTCCGCCGTGAGTCGAGTCATGTACTCACCAATCTCGAACTCAGTCTGACCCAACTCAAGTGCATTTTGCAGTGATTGGAGCATATGCTTAGTGCAGTCCACCATGTGTCCCCCATACCCCTACAAATAACCACAATTTTAGCATTTAGTATACAAGTTGGGTTTTGGTATATACTCATAATTAATTAATTAATCAATTTTTTTTTTATACATACCTTGAGTTTGTCTCCCGTGAAAGCGGGTGCGACGATATGTCGCTGGTGATGCCAATCATCGCCGTTGGCCATTAGTAGCCCCCGGCCGATGAAATGCTTTGATCCTTGTTGTTGCAGCCATGATTTACCAGCTTTTGTGCTGTACTTTGATAGAAGCTCTTTGATGTGCTCGGTCTCCGTTATACACATTCTTGGCTCGATTCCATTCCAAAATATAAATCTCTTTCCTGAAAATCATGAAGTTTTGAAATCAACATGAGCATAAATCAATCAATAAAGTTTCCTTTTTTGTTGATTACAAAAAAAAAACATGAGCATAAATCAATTGACTGGATCCCAGTTGACATAAAGGGGATAAGTTAAGTCCCTTGAGCTGACTGGGGTCTAATTGAGGTCAAACAGCGGACACTCTGAAGAGAAAAAATTACCATATTGTTTGGACCAGGTGAGGAAATGGGGCAAGAGACGGCCAACGATGTCATGGTTGATGGTGTCCATGTCTTTGGAGGTGGATTTGGAGACGAGGGAAGCCATGTCCAAGATGTTCCCGACAAGAAACCGGGGTTTTGGGCCATACACTCCTTGCTTTTCCATGATTTTCTTGATGCTTCTTGGTGTGATCAAGTAACAAGTTATATTTTGATAAGCAACTCTAATGAACAAGACGAGAAACACAATTAGTAGAACCAACAACACCACTGTGGCCATCGTAGAGAGAGAGGAGGTGAGTGTGATTTGGTGGTGACCTCAAAGGGAGGCTAATATTTATAGTGCTAGAAAACGAGGTTTTGTGAAGGAGATTTTGTGAAGGAGACAGTGATATGAGCAATCAAAAAACATATAGTGCACATATTGTAAAAAGACTTTTAATTTTAATTTTTTTTTATATCAAAATAGGGAAAGTTCAGTACTAAAAAAAAAGTACTTTAGGTTCAGTACTAAAAAAAAAAAAAACTTTTGTGACGGTTACAAGTCGTTGCAAATAATAAATAATCAATCACAAGGAACCTTTTGTGATTGCCCATGCGACAGCAAATGAGGGTCGTGAATGTGGAGGTGACAAATAATTTTTGTGACTCAAAACAGTAGTCGCAAACTATTTGCGACAGCCTAATCTACTATGGCGACCAATGTTTTGCCGTCGCAAAAAAATTTAAAAAATATTTACAATGTATTAGTGACCATCTTGTTACAGTCGCAAAAAAAAAAAAATACTACAATGTTTTAGCAACCTATATTCTCACATATATATATATATATATATTCAAATATTATATATAATAAATGTAAAGTGATATTTGCAAAACTTCTAATACTCATGTATTATTTTCCATCACTTCTCTCAACAAAATTATTTTTCTTCAAAAAAAAAGTGTGCATATAAAGTATAAACTTTTACACATGTAAAACAAATATCCATCAACTATTCTTAAAAGTATTTATACAAAATACTAATAGATTCAAGTACTCAAAAAAGAAAAAAAATCTCACTACTACAAAATCATCAATAGATCACACTTTTTATGTGTGATATATGTTATTTAATCACTTTTTAAGTTTTGTCAAAATGTGATTTTTGGGAGTATGATTGAAAATGGTCATTTTTATTCACACGTTTTGAGTGTCATTAAAGATGATTCCATCACATGTTTTGTGTGTGATAATAAATATTTAGATAACATTTTTTAAGTGTGATTAATAACATTTAGATCACATCTTTCAAGTGTGATTAATAACTAATAAAACTTGTGATAATAAACATTTAGATCACAGATTTTAAATGTGATTAATATCTAATAAAATCTGTAATTAATAATGAGATAAGATCACATGTTATATGCATTTGCCATCACAATTAATGCGTGTGATAAAAAAAAGGTTCGACATATTTGAAGAATATAATATACACTCTATATTATTCTTTGAATCATAACCACATATTTAATGGAATAACGTCATATATTTCATAAATAAAAATTGAATGTTCAAAAGCATATACAAATGAATTAATAAAAAGCTTTTAACTGTGATTACATATATTAAAAAATGAAAAAATTTGAAGCACAAATTTCTTGAATTCTTTGACTATATTTTGCATCTCTCCAAGCAATTTCTGATCTAAAAAATGAAAATACAAATTAATTTAGAGACTGCTAGAAGCATGTGAATAAACTTACTATTTGTAAAGACTATTCTAGTTTTAGAAAAGATAAAGTCGAACATTTTCTCATCACACTGACTCTTTATCTCCAGCATCAATAGAAAAGGAAGAACCACTTTAACTATTACTAGTATAAAATGTTTGGATTACCATGTAGATATGACATATACATAGAATCAACAAATCTAAAATGAAAACCTTTAGTGCATGGCTAAATATTTTAAAGTCATTGCGGAGGATAAAAATTTAAGCCCAAGGCCGAAGCAAGTTAAGACACGGCCCCAAAGCATTTTTCCCCAGCTAGGGAAAAGTCTAGGCCCAAGCGCTTAGAAGGTACAATTGTAAAGCAAACAAGGTCACGTGATAGGAGATTTAGACAGAATCGCTTTCAGAAAAAGAGATCCTTAAACAAGAAGAAAAACCCTTGGATAAGATAGAAATCAACGATAGAGATCAAAACTAACAAAAGAAGGGATACAAAATTGACCAACTCTGACAATCTGGGTATCCTATAAGATCAATCCAACGATCAAGAATGAGTGCGCAAAACCCGAACTAAATCTAGGCCATCTGTAACACCGGGCAGCCGACAAAGGCATATAAAAATCACTTGTCTACTTGCTTGACCAGTCTCTGCATACATAAAACACCATTGGATCGGTACCACAATCCAACAGTCGCGATACTAGGTATCCACACTATAAAAGGAAGAAGGAAAATAATTTAAAGGCAAGCAGAGACAAAGAAATAAATACTTTTCTTTAGAGGAAAAACAACATGTTTAAACCAGGTTCTAATTTGATCGTCGGAGGGTTCCTTAACCAACCTTGGTCAGGAGAGATCACTGACGTTTTGGTATTTGTCTTTTTTGCAGAGTAAAGGAAGGAACGACTCATCTCGCTTTCCCTATGGAGAAAACATTTTCCCCTTCCATAGTCATAAAACCAAAATAAAAGTCAATTATTGTTTAAATATAGTAAGTGGGGGAAAAAAGCACTTCTCAAGGCTTCTGTCCTCAATTAGTAATAAGGTAAGCTCACTTCTCCCAGGAGAAGAACATAAATGACCCCATGGTTCCTTGCAATTTTTCATATCACAGAGTTGGTCGATCTAGTATAAAGTTCAAACACTAGGTCAATCTAGTTTTTTGTATCTAAAATAATTCCACCATTGGAATGAGCCATCTAGTTTTTCTAGCAGCACATGGTTGATGCACTCAATTAAACTTGGTATAAATCAAGAAAAGATTGTATACATCAAGATGGTTACAAAGCATAGATTTCCCATTTCCTTGATATAAGCCTGAACTATTACATTATACTTTGAGACAATGTGAAGAATCATTTGACTTTGGGCAACTCCAAAACCAAACTATCAACTTATATGGGAATCAATCTGCTCTGCTGTGGTTATGCATCAACTGATGGTATATGTGATGATCAATATCAAGTAAGCATGACATGTTAGAGTGACACACACATTCATAAGAATTATTGCATGAATGTTAAATCAAATATCATTATACTCAATCCCTCCATAAAAAATTTTCCAACATGCAGTGATGTGACATTGAATGTGTTTGTTAGCAATTCATAGTACTGTTTTAGTAATAATAATGCTTGGGCAAATCATGAAAATGATAGAAAGAAATTCACAAGCTAATAAGATCAATAAAGTTAGTACCTGTGAGCTTTGAACTTCAGACTTGAATTTGGACAAAGTGGATTCGTGAATTATCACACTCTACACCCACAAAAGAAAGTCAAATTAAAACAAGAAAAATTTCTGACTTTCAAATAACCCAAAAATAAAAAAATCATGAATAGATAAGAAGTATCATACTTTCTGCATTTCAGGCTTGGAAACAAAAGATTGGGCCACATTTTCCAAGCTGTCCTTCAAAACTTCAGTAATGACTTAGGCATGTCAAACACTTGTTCAAAATAATAATCAAAACACAAAAGGAATTTACTTCTAAAAACTAAAAAAAAAATTTCTTATCACCATAATCAATTGAGTTAATTTCATATCCACTTAAGCAATACTTCCAAGGAAATAATCTTTGTCAACCTCTAAAGAAAAAATTTTAGAACTCAACTCAGTGCAAGAAGTCCTTAGTCTCAACTAAAACCTGAGTTCCACAATGTTTTAGTAATCACATCTGAAGTTTGAGAAGAAAAGAAAATTGTTACCTAATGAAAATGGTATAATAATCAATCAGTTTGGCTCTCAATATCATCCACTCAATCATATCAACTATGCCGTCAACACTACCTGCAAAAATATACATTAGTATATTGGTTGACTAACTTGGATGCCAAAACAAAAATGCATACAAAGAGCATGTTAATTGACTAACTTGGATGCCAAAAACTTTTCCAACAGGGGTGCGAGGGAGATTTCATAATCTGGCTTTGGGCCGTGGTAATGACTGGGCTAGAAAAAGATCCAAGCACATTTGGGCCGAGCTAACTTGGGCTAATCTAGAGTTGGTTTGCTCGGTTGAGGTCCAGGGCCCATTCGGCCGAGATGATCGTCTGTCAACCTGGGCTTATTGGTCACGCATGTAGCTCGGTGGAAAGGTCTCCCTTGGACCTACCTAACCTGTCTAGAGCTCGGCCGTACTGGAATGCTACGGAGCTCGATTGTGATGGGGCTCGGCGAGTGGCACTGTTGGGCTCGTTAAGTAGCTTGGTCGAAGGAGGCCGAGATAATTCCGCTGGGCTGTCCATTCCTGCCGATGCCAACTGGCAGTTTGATTAGGTGGTGTCTAGCTAAATTTACGCTGACAGATAGGAGAGCAGCTCCGCGTGTCAATAAGCGAATGGATGCAGAGGTGAGCGCATAAAGTATATAAGCATGACTACGCCCCCCATGCTGGGGATAGAACTTCATCTGGTGAGAGAAACTCTCTTCCTCTCTCTCTCTAGCTCTGAGTGTGTACTAACTTGATCGTCGGAGGGGTTTTCCGGCAATACACCGTCGGGTAGCTCACCGCCGTTGTGCTCGCAGGTTAATCAGATCAAAGCGGAGCTTGGACGCAAGGAATACGGGCTGTACCGAATATTTGCCTCCCGTACAATTGGCGCCGTCTATGGGAAGTCGGCAGACAAAACCTTGTCCTCCAAGCTTCTCCGGTCATCTTTTATGGCAAACCACGACGACATTCCGTTACTCGCCATCGACGGCATCACACTAGAGTCCGTTTGTCTCAGAGATGGCCTATCCACCATTCCGAAAATGGCTGATTTGGAGACCTCCGCACAAGGACTTCCCACGGATGCGTGAGACAAGGAGTTTTGGGCACTCTGTCATTCCAAAAAAGTGTCACCGACGGCGATATTCACACACTCAACACTTGGAAGACAAGCTGAGAGATCAAGATACCATCATCAAGAAAATGGCGACGGAGATAGAGTCCATGAGACGCCAGATGAAGGGAAAGGGCATTGCTGGAGTGGGAAACCACAGTGAGCACGCCCATTCTCGCCGTTTTGGTAGTCTTAATAGACGTCGCACCCCTTCACTCTCCGTCACGAGAAGCTTCAGAACTGGAGACTACGTAGCACGAGCGACGATATCTCGCACGCAGGACAGTAGTTACTACCCC